AAGTGCCCCCTGCAACAAATTGGTACCCAACGTGAGGCTAAATCCACTTAAAAACCTGAAAGAGCTTAATTCTAGACACAAAACCACAGAGTTTAACACAGCTTCTTGCTGTTTATTGGTGGCATACCACAGCTCCTTTAAGACAGGTTTTTCTGATTCAGCCATAGCAAAAATAAAAATAAAAAAGCCGCGCAGTTTTAAAACACGGCTTCCTGAGCTGTGCTGCCAGTGCAAACTCTGACTATGGAGCATTTCAATGGCATTTGTGGAGCCAGTGCCCACTCTGGGTAAGGAGAAAAGCAGCTGAGACCATGCACATGATCTAGTAGGCTTGTCAGGCAGGAGAGCATAGCAGATTCGCACCGCCATACACAGAGATATTTCCAGGCTTTGCTGTGCTCTGCATGACAGATTTAGCTATCACTCAGATAAAAAGGGTTTATGTGCTACATGCTCATTCTCAGAGCTAAAGTGCTGAGCATGGTTCCTACTGGAAGCCCCAGAGTGTCCACCATTTTAAAAGTGGAGAGAGGCAGAGCCAGCATCAAGAGCAGTTGCAATCAAGCTGCTTTCCATCGTAAAAGCTCTTCAAGACACTAAAGAATTGCAGATATGCAATAAAGACAAATCCAAATGAGTCATAGTATTGGATAAATGTACGTAGGATGGAAAGAGAAAAAAAGGATAGAGTCATAAAGGTAATGCTTTAAAAAAAGAGTAAAGTCTTTAAAGAGACAGAGTACAGATAGTCATAGATTAAAAAGAGTAAAGAAAAATAAGCCATGTAAAGGAAGAATATTCAGAGAGTCTGGATTCTGTATATTATTGTGTCTTCTTTGAATTTTTTGACTGTGAAGGAGCCAAGAACAGAGAAACATTTCATTTTATGGACTGCTAAGTGAAACCAACGTACAGGTATCTTGATTCCAAAATTTGAGTCTAAGGATATGTTGCTTTGGAAAAGAAGTTCTTCTTTTGTTTCCACAGAAGATGAGAACCTGTGGATTGCTTCCAGACCAATATGGTTTAATGGACCACAACCCCCTAAAAGGTTTCTGTAAACACCCCCACAAAGAAAATACTTCATCCAATAAACAGCAGGAAGCAATTTGGAGAAACTATGCCCACATTCCCAAATATTGTCTATATATGTTTTTTTACATTTAAAAGGGGCTATGATACAGATATAAATAATTTGCATTGGTATGGATCTTGGTTTATTGATACAAAATTAAGGTCAATTTTGTTATATGTATATGTATTTCTGATCTTGACTAAGGTATTGTGTTTGTTCAGCTCATTTAAAAATGTAATATATAACTAAAAATATAACTTAGTAGATAATCATCTATAATAATCCAGTTTGTAGTCATGTTAGCTTTTCTAGATGTATAGAGATATATTTCAGTTAGATAGGTATTCTTCAGATCTTTCAGAGACCTTCAAAATATGTCTTTTAAAATGTTTTAATAACTTAGGACTTTTCATAACAATGAGACACGTCTGCTCCTGGCAGCACCAATTATTCGAGAGGAATATGGGCATCAAAGAGGCTCCTTAGCTATTTGGGCAAGAAACTGCTCTTGCATGGACTACTTAACTGGAAATGCAGGACCCACAAAGAAATGACTGCTGAACTTGCCTAAAGGTGAGATGGTCCGTCCAGGTTCCTGCTTCATAAGAGTCTGCAAGACATTCTGCAGGATACAAAAAAAAAAAAAAAAGACTGGCAAACTGCCAATAAAGATGGAACTGTTTTTGAAATTTCCTGCTTCTTGGAAACGTCTGCTGGATACTATGGGCCCATAGGCTGAAGATGGATGCTCCAACGATACAGAAGAACTTTGGGTGACTGTCCAGGCAGCAAGATGTCTCTGTCAATTCTAGAGTTTTCAAAGTTGCTTACAATGTACTTCCTGTTTACTTAGGTAATATTATATCCTTCTGGAGTCTTTGATGAAGTTAAAGAGTAGATAGTAAAAATACAGTTTTCCTTAGTTAAAAGAGATAAAGTAGATAATAAATATTGTAACTGTAATTCTTGCTTGATATATGTTTTGTTATATGTAATTTTACTATGTTAAAGTTAAAGCCTTCCTTTTTATTTAAACAGAAAAGAGGAAATGGTGTGTGAGGTCCTTCTGTATATGTGTTGCTTTTATTGGTTAATGAATAAAAAACTGCCTTGGCCTGTTGGTAGGGCAGAACTAAGGTAGGCAGAGAAAACTGGACTGAATGCTGGAAGAAGGAAGGCGGAGAGAGAGATACCATGGATCCATCGCCGGAGATAAACATGCTGAAACTTTGCTGGTAGGCCACAACCTTGTGGTACTATACAGATTAATAAAGATGGGTTAAATTAAGATATAAGTGTTAACCAATAAGAAGCGAGAGCTAATGGGCCAAGCAGTGTTTTAATTAATATAGTTTCTGTGTGGTTATTTTGGTTCTGGGTGGCCAGGACAAACATGTGCCCCCTGCAACAGGAAAGCATTGAAAAGGGGACCACAGACCATACATTGGAACCTTTGAGGGAAAGAAAGGTTTCCCTTTAAAAACTGCACAGGCACTTCATCAAGAGGAATAGCTTAAAGTAAGAAACAGTCATTATGGATTATTTACTGGCAAGAATATTTACTGACAAGTATTATGGTATTTATAACTAGGTATTAAAGAAAATGTTTATATTTTGAGGGCTAACGACAGTAGATAGCTACACAATTTTTTATAGTTATTATCTAGCAAAACACTGTTGTAAAAAAGAATGAAAGAACACATGAGTCCCACAGGGCATTGCTCTTCGGGCTGGGGGGGGGACTTAATTAGGGGAGGGGGAGGGAAATGGGAGGCGGTGGCAGGGAAGAGACAGAAATCTTTAATAAATAAATTAAAAAATAAATAAATAAAATAAAGAATTAAAATAGAAAAAAACAAACACAACAAACAAACAAAAAAAAAGGATCCAGTCTTAGTCTCTGGGCCAATTCAACTACCATCTCAGTAGAGTCATTGCATTTAAAAGGTCACTTCTTAAGTGAAAATAAGCAAAAACAAAGATTTAGTTTGGGAAATTATTTTTTTAATTAGTCCTTCAAAACAATGATAACCAGAAAAATGAGAATGCACAAAATAAAGTATGTTTATAAAGACTTGGAATAGCATTAACTAATGTTAAATATGTTAGAGCAATAATTTTAGTAGTTTATTTGAACAAAGAAAAAGAAAATGGCAAGATAAATAGGCAGCTTCTAAACCAAAGTAGGTTCAAGAACTCCAGCAGTGTGAAAGCATTTACAGAAAACGGAAACAGCACTGAAATGTCATTGGAAGTAACAAAGTCAACTAATCAATAGCTTGCAACTTTGTTGCAAGTTATTTAATTGGTTATACGACTTCTTGAATAATATTTAATTATTTAATTACTGTGATCAAACTCTACATTAGATTAATCTATTGTGTCCACTGTTGGTACCCAAGACAATTCCACAGCCTCTGAAAATTTGACTTAACACTAAGAAGCTATCAATTTCCTAATTTCAACTACTCCTTGAAGTGATAGATCTACTAACCAAATTATTTTAACTCTGCAAATTCTGTAAACTGTATTTGATCATAACAAATATAAGACAGTTAGAAGTTCCTATTTTTGTGCATATTAGCTAACTAATTCCCTTGTAATCAGGCATAAGTTGCACACAGCAATTATTCTAATTTGACTTTTAAGATGAAAGTAAAATACAGCCAAAATGTATTCCCCACTCCTTTTTGACAAATCAAAACAATTTAAACATTTTACCTTCTCATTCTGGTAATTTTGTATATCTGTAATTTGCAATGTGTAGTTTTTCCTAGCGCCCTATGTTTTTATATCAATAGCAAGCAACAGTTTATTACCTCAAGAGAACACAGCTCTGCTCTTACTCTGTAACGACGTGAAAACCTACCTTATGGTCGTCAGTCATTTAAGAAATTACAAAAGAAAAACTCAACACATTATTGGATCTCATTAAACGTGAGGCAAAGACCTGACTAAACAGCAAGGGAGCAAAGTGAGGCAAGTAAGTTTATTAAAAATTTAAATTACATTTTAAAGGCCTATTTTGATTGGGAAAAAAATCCAACAGGAAGCATAAAAGTATTTTTATAAAAGCACTATATCGCCAATATCTGTAATTGCCACTATGCCATGACTAGTAGTTTTTCTATTTAGATTCAAGCACAACAGGTTGCAGGCACACTAAAGAATTTTCAGCCTTAATGGTCCTGAAAATACAAGTTGCTTCGCACAGAGCACACATCGTTTCAAAACTAGATACACAAAAACAGATGAGAACATGTGTTAATGTAATCTTAGTCTTATCGTTTGAAATTATTCTTTGCTGTGTTTGGGGACCGGGAAGATGAGAGGATGGGCTCCTGGCAACGTCTTTATATAAAGCCAGATTCAAAAACTAGTATCAGTGCTTTCCAAACACAGTAACCAGAACTAGCAGAGGCTTCTCTTGGCAGAACCCTAAGATCAAGGACCAGAGTAAAAACTTTAGTACTTTAGCAAGATGGTCTGTAAAAGCTGAATTCTGAGGGGGAGGGAAGGAACCCTCAAGAGAAAACTTTTTGCCTTGGGTCTGAAATGATGCTTCGGAAATCCCTTAGTCCTAAGGGTTCCCTAATTAATCATGACATCCAAAGAACAGACTTTCAGCGTTTCTGGTTATTGCACGCTACAAAAGTGTGCATTTATAAGCAGAAAGACAAGAATCGCATGGTTTCCCAGGTCTGTAATTCCAGCACTACTCTGAAGGCTTCGACTCTCTGAAGGCTCGAGGACAATCTGGGCCACAAAATGAGCCCACGTCTCCAAAAACAAAAGGTAAACAGTAAAAAGAAAAAGTCCAGACCCTCGATGAATCTCCCGGAAACGGGAGAAAGTTACAGCCAAACGACAAGTGACAACAGTCGGCGACCTGACATCTCTGCGCGGCAGCAAGGGCTGCACTCACCCAGCGTTCGCCGGGAAACGCAGGCGGCGGGCGTTTCGAAGTCAGCAACGCGACCACACACTCGCTCCGCAGCCACAGCACTTCACCTCTCTCTTAGCAGCCACAGTGCGCGCTGGGCGCCGCCATCTTGACGGGAAGAGGCCCGGCCCGAGGTCCCTGCCCCCCTCGCCCAGAGAGAAGCCGGTGTCCCATGAAGTCGCTATCTAACCCAGTCCGCACCTCCGGAGCTGCGTCCGCCAGCCAAGATGCCACCTATGACCTCAGCCTGCGGACCAGGCCAAGGCAGAGCGAACTCACCCTCGCAGTCTCTCACAACGGATCAGGCGGCGCTGAAGACAGCCTGACTGGATAGGGGCGGGGCAGCGGCGCGCGCTCCGTAACCCGGGCAACCGGGCCTCGGCAGGTGTAGGGGGCGTGGTGTCCGAAGACGCCAGGGTCTCGGCCACGCCCCCGGACGGTGCGTTAGGGTGCAGGCTGTGGAAGCTGCGAGCTCCCGAGATCGAGCCCACGATCGTCCTCCCGAGGAGTGTGCCTGGGGCTGGACGGCCTGGCCTCCTGCCGCCGCAGCCGCCTGTGAGGAGCGCGGAGCCTCCCGGACGCGGGCGCCTCCCCTTAGCTGCCCGCCGCCCTGCCTGCGCCGCCTCCTCGCGCGCGTGGGACTCTCCCCCAGGCCTCGAGCCAGGCCGAGCCGCTGCTTCTGCTTTCCAGCGTGCTATTTGCATCGTTTGGCACTTGGCTTCGGTTAAAGTCTGGACCTCCTCGAAGAAGGACTTGTTGGTTTTGGTGTTAAGTTTTTTTGTTTGTTTCCAACATGGCAGCCTCCAGCCGCGCACAAGTATTAGATCTGTACCGGGCGATGCTGAGAGAGAGCAAGCATTTCAGCGCCTACAATTACAGGTGACCCGGGGGGGGGGGGGGGGGGGGATGGCCGGGAATGGGGTGCCCAGGTCTGTCTCCAGGGGTCGCGGTACAGGCGCTCACAGCTTGCGTTAGTGACAGGATCCGCTGTCCTGACCCCCACGTGCAACTGTCCACCCCAGGTGTGACCCTCAGAGCCCGGCAGGGGGGGAGCCAAGGGCTTGCCCTTCAAGTCCTGGGACATCTTCCCTGAGCTGACTGACACCCAAGTTAGTGCTTTAGGACCTTAAGTCGGTGTCTTGTTTCTCCGGTACGAAACGATGGGCGTGAGAAAAGTTAGGACAAGCGAGCATGTGCCATACATGAAACTTGCCTTGAGAATACAAGTGGAAGCGGTCTCTCGGGATCACGTGACCACAAAGCTGCCTGCTTGCTCTAACCCCAACCCCTTTCATTTACATCGGTTTTTAATTCACGATACCAGATAGAGACTAATTAGAGCAGAGTTTCTCAGCCTGTGGGTCGCGACCCCCTGTCGGGGCAAATGACCCTTTTAAGACCATTGGAAAACACAGATATTACAGTTATGAAGTCGCAGCAGAGATCACTGTATTAAAAGGTCACAGCGTTAGGAAGGTTGAGAACCACTGAATTAGACAATGAAGGAGAGGGGTACACATAGAAGGGGTGTTAAAAGGTAAGAGGAGTCGCTAAGCCTTCAGAGACTAAAATGGCAGTTTGATATTCCCTCCAGGTTCTAGACTGTAGGACTTATAACACCAAGAGGACGAGAGCATAAGTCCTTCAAAAAGGAAATTTATAGCTTAAATTTAAATTATACATAAACACACAAAAATTACACATGTTAATGAGGTGCCATGTGTGTACCTCACTTTCATGCAATAAAACTCGTTTGCATTTTTAAGCCCATTTTTCCCCATGCCTGGCCCATTCCCCTGCTTGTAAATGAGTCCTGTATACTTACTTGTTAGGAAGTTCTCCACCTCGGAGCCCCCCAGCTTCTCAGCTTCTGCTTCTTTGACACTTTGACCCACCATTTCTGAAGCGCTCTGTGGGGTTTTCTGACATGTGGTGTCTTCTTATTAATTACCTGAATCCTCAGAGTTTAAAGCATTCTCCTGAAAACAAGAATCTGATGAAAGCAGCTCATTTTTCTTTCCTGGGTTACTTATTTACAGTTGTTTCCCAAGTGTTCGGATTATTTCACAAGCAATTCTTCACCTTTTGTCATTTCCGACATTGTGGACATTGTGCCCTTAGGCGAGGCTATGGGCTAGGTGTCCTGGTGTCAGCTAACTCCTGAAACAGAACTGGTTCTAGGGGCACCCTCTGCTCGGAATTGAGCTGCAAAGGCTTGTGGGGGGCAGGCCATGCCCAACCCCGGTCTGTGGACAGATGCACCAAACCTCTCCAGCCGTAACTCATATTTTAGAAGTTTGTAGAGAAAACCTGTTTGTCCTATGAGCTTGAGAACAGCATAGGTTGTACTGGTTAGCTCGTTCCCGCTGCACACATGGTTAAATGAAATGTGGTTTCTCTTGACGACATTGCCTTGGAGAGGATAGAGGGTATAAACACTAAAGCTACAGGTGGATTTTTCGTAAATACCTACTGCTAAGTAATTGCGATTGATGGAACACAGGAACTATGAAGTAAATATTGGAGTGCTCCCCACAGTTTAGAAGATGTCCTATCTCAAGAGCAAACATGGGTGGAATAAACACAGACTAGGTCTCAGCATAGGGTCAGTCACGCTAGAGGGCACATCTGGGAACAGTGTCTAAAACACAGGGCAGCCCTCACAGCATACGTAACCCCGGCCTCTGCATTCAGTTTTCTTCACAGCAAAACTAAGTCATCGGCCTAGTTGGCCTCTTAAGGACCCTTTTGTTTACTTAGCCAGTCGCCAGTCGGTACACCAAAAGTTTTCCAAATCCATAAGACTAAACGGAAAAACCTAGACGATGCCTAAAAGAAATTTAAAACTGAGCTTCAGCACAAGCAACTGTGTGCTGACATGCACTCAGAGAATACCCTGTGCTTCACATTGCTTGTGTTTTCCACAGGAATCTGGTGGTCACCGGATATCATGTACCCAAACCTGAGAACCCTGCCAGCATTATGATGTCCCATGAAAATAAAGCTTGCTTAGCATCAAATATGTCTGCCTCTACAGTACTCTGTGGAATTCAAGACTAGCCATTTCCTCCTCTCCCAACCCAACACTGTCATTATGGCAATCACTGAGAGTGTCCATTGATTACTTCCATGTGACACTGTTTTCTGCTCTTTATCTTTATTAGTACACTTCTTTTAGACAACCTCATGAGATACTATTTTTATGAGCCAATCAAAACCAAGCTCTGGAGATGCCAACCTGAAAGTTACGAAGCTGATGCTAGATAACCAAAGCAGAGAGCAGTGTGGAGCCAGGACATGGTGGGGCACACTTGTAATCCTGTCTGGTTTATACAGCACGTTCCAGGCCAGCTTGGGTTACATGATCCTCCGTCTCAAAAACAAAATGAAAAAAAAAAAGCAGTAGTGAAAAATTTTTAAACAACCCTGAAGTTTTGGTGTCTAAAGTAATGACTACTGAAAAATTTTTGAAGACCTGTACCTAGGCTTCATTTCAATAGCATTGACCCTAGGTGCCTCTCCCAGTTCCATCCCAGCACCAGCAAGCCTCACTCACACATCCTATGTTCTTTGTCGTTCCCCCACTCCCTCTCTAGACTGACCTAGAACTCACCGAGATCCGCCCGACTTGGCCTCCCCAGTGCTGGGATTAAAGGCACCGACACAAGGCAGCCATTTGTCATATATTAAGTCCTTTATATATTATGTCCTTTAGTCCTCAGACTTTTGAAAGTTCTTCTGGGTCTAGCACATCCCTTATCACTCCTATCCTGAATTCCTTCTCTCCTTTAAGATATCCTAGTTATGTTATAACCTCTGAACAGCTCTCTCCAAAGGTGAGAGCTTTGGATTTGACAACCCAAGTTCTGTCAATAACTTGTAGCCTGCTCTTATAGAAGCTTGTGCAGGGTATAGAATTAGCTGGAGGACCGCCCAGACATTGGCATCAGATCAGCTGCATGCAGAGCAGCGTAAGCCCGGGTAACTACACTAGACTATTGAAGCTCAGATGACAGATGACCTGAAAGGCTAGAAAGGGTCACATATACCAGGGCTTGTCTCCACTGTGGATCCTGGGTTTTGTAACAGGCAGCCAAGCCACCCTTTTGTGGTTTCAAGTTGTCAAGTGACAACCAGATCTGAGTATTAGGTAAGTTCCTTTGGGCAGCAAGATAAGAGAGAATCTGAGCTAGAAGTAAAGACATCAGTGGGAATTGATTGTAATAGTGTAGAGAAGAAATTAGAGGAAATAAGAAAACAGATTTTTGGTAAATAGTTGGGAGAGTATTAGGACTCTGATTATTTGGATGCTGTCTTAGTCACTCACTATTCTATTGCTATGAAGAGACACCATGAGTAAGGCGATTCTTAAAGCATCTCTTAAAGAGTTCCAGAGGGTCAGTCCATTATTATCATGGCAGGGAGCCTGACACCACACAGGCAGACATGGTGCTAGAGCAGTAGCTGAAAGTTCTACATCCTGATCCGCAGGCAGCAGGAAGAGAGAGGGACTGGGTCTGGCTTTTGAAACCTCAAAGTTCACCTACAGGACACATGTCCTCCAGCAAGGCCACACCTCCTAAGCATTCGAATATATGAACCTATGAAGACCATTCTTATTCATACTACCACAGGTACCAAAATAAGAACATCAAAGAGGGTCTAGAGTGTGGATCAGGTTAAGGCCAAGAAAAGGAGAGACATAGATGCTCTGCCATTAACTGACAAAAACAGTGAAGAACTAGCTGATGTGGAGAGATCTTTCACTCACTTGGGAATATCCCCCAAGTGTGAATGGAGCTCAGGGCACAAGTAATCACAGTCTGTGCCTCTGGAGCCCCAGCACTGGAACATCCTGCACCACCCTGTCTGTGGCTCTGGGAGAGTTCCAAGAGTGCTCTGTCCTGCAGTTTTGTTTTGTTTTTTTTAACATTTAAAAATGTAGACTTTAATAAGTGTAATCAGATCAGCATGTGGAGAAGCTGACATAGATACATAAAGCAGGAGAGACAAGTGGCCACCCAGAGTTTCTGTACTTCATTCATTTTGCATAGTATTAAAGTTGTTTAATACACAGTTTATCATTTATCATTTTGGTAGACTTTTGTTGTAAAGATAATACTTTTATCTGGT